CAGATCATTATTTGCTTTTCTGTTATTCTGTCCAGTTCTGTTCATTTGATTCCAAGGTTCTTGTCCTGGATCCTGGCGGCCAGTGGAAAGAGGTTTTTGTGTCTGTCTCATCTCCTGCTCGTCCACTGTTCCTCCCCTGCTGAGCCCTCTGGGTTTTTGGCTCTGTACGCGGGGAGGTTCAGTTTTTATCAGGTAAGCCTGGCTCCAAGCTGGAGACCAGTTTAAAGGTCCTTCATCAAGTTCTGGTTCCATGTCCTGTCTCAGCTACCCTCTTCCACTGAGCCTCCCCGTCTGCATCTGATCCTGTCTGCTCCTGTGCGTGACCACCTGGTCACGCTTCAGACTCTGTTGGACTCTGAACCTGCCTGGGAGCTCTCCGATGCCTGGAAGCCTGGATCCTGCCTGTTCTGTCTGTTCTGGATCCCTGACCAGGATCGGCTTCCTGCAAGACCTCTGGAACTGCAGCACTGGGACATTCTTGGACTGGACTGTTAAACCAGGTAATCATCTTCTGTGAGATGATCGTGGTCACTTACCTGTGTTTCTCCCACTAACAGAGTGTCTGAGATTGGGCGGTGCCCCGCCCTCCACCTGCAGTTGCCTCGTTCCACAGATCCTAGCAGCTCCGCTTTTGGTTTTTTCATTTAATAAATGTTTTGAACTTGCCTACTTACTGTCTCTCCTTGAATACTGGGTCCCTCTGTCCTCGCCTCATTACAATTATAGCAACTATATGATCCACAGGATCTTTTGTCAAGACTCAGAGGATACAGTATTCACGGCACACAGACAGTCAGATACCTCAGATGCATTTATTTAATAACGATGAATTGACAGGCAGGGTGTGTAAGGTTGGAACCTCTGGTCTTAAAGTTCAATCCTTGCCCAAAGGAAGAGGTGGATTCCAGCTGAATGGCAACATGATGCGGCGAACGCTGCCAAGAGAATTCCAAACGTTGAAGCCTTGAAGACTGCAGAACTGGCAGGAGATCGGATCCAAGCAGACAAAGGAAGGCAGGAGCCAGAGCCGGTGTCAAAGAGCTTCACAGGAGTCTGGGCCAGAAGATCAGAGATCCAAGTACTGGTACTGAGGTACTGAAAGGAAATCCAGGTCGGGTCAGGAAACAGTTCCAGTGTCGTCAACAGGCAGAAACCAACAGGAGTCTGAAGACACGTCAGGCAAACGGATCAAAACGAGAACAGGCAGGCTCAGAGGTCCAAAGGCAAAACGGTTCAGGATCAGGCAATCAGAACACAATCAGATATGCTAGAGAACTCTCACAGAGGGCTCGAATAATCTGACGCTGATGACTGGAAGCAGGCAGGTTAAATAGAGACTAGAGCAGGTGACACAGATGAACAGTGATAAGAAACTGGGCGGAGCTTGGCAGGTGAATGGAATGATCAGTCAAGCTAGTCATCAGCGTAAAGATCATGACATAAATACCATAGAGCTTCTAGTTTCTATTAAGGAGACATTTTATCTGCATGTTTATACGTTCTGAGTCAATTTACACATTAATTAAATTGTTGATGTTTGACTATTGGTTGATTTTGAAAATGATTTTTTTCAAGCTAATGGTCTGTGGGAAAAATTCAGCACTTTAGATTAAAAATAAAGGATAATAAATAAATAAATGATCTGAAATGATCTTCAGCCAATCAGAGGGCTTGGTTCTTTCATGTGATCAGATCCAAGGCTTCCTAAGCCATGCTTCAGTCTCTAGTCCTGATCTAAATGAATTATTTTAAACTGGCTCAGATTAGCTAACAGGGTTCATCCTCATTTACTTTTTAATGTATTTTATGCTTCAATATTAACTAATGTGAAAGTTTAAACCTTTAATATCTCTGTGGCTGTGCTTTCATGCAGCAGGGTGGAGGCAGAATTAGACTCCTTGGTTCTTTGCAGGAAGCTGAAGGCTGAAATATCTTCATTGGTTGAAGTGATAAAGGCCATGAGCTGCTGTGTTAAAGTAATGTACCAGAAAAATCTGAGATAAGAAAGAGAAGATGTAGAGATGTATGTCCATTTATGGTTACTTCTGATGCATTGCAGAGAACTTTGGTCCTCTAAAAAAACCACAACAGGAACTTTGCGGAGGACGTGGTTGTGAGATCAGTTCTGTCATTTTAGCTTTTTCTGTCATTAACTTACAGAGGTAAGAACATGAGGATCCATTCTGCTGTTCTTCATTTGCTGTTGGGCTTGATGGTTCATCTGGACGCTGCTCAGGTCCAGTATTATGGGACCGGAGGTTCTCTGGTTCTGAGGCCTAAATTCTCCAGTAAGATAACCAGCATCACCTGGAAGCATAAAGGGGACATAGTAGCTGAATGGATTAAAGGTTCTGTCCCATTGGAATATCTGGGTGACCTGAAAGGTCGGTTAGACCTGGACCTGACCACCGGGACACTGACTGTGAAGAACATGATGAAAGCAGACGAAAGAGTGTTCAGTGTGGAGATCAACAACAAGGTTCTTCCTGACACCTTTGAAGCTCAGTGGATCGATAACCTCAATAATCACGAAGTTGAAGTCATCAGCACTCTGTCTCAGAGCTGCAAACTGAGGTGTGGTGAAGCCATTGACGCTGCCGGACCCATCCAGTACTCCTGGAAGAAAGGAGCCGGATCATGGGAGCAGGGAGAGAGGGTGATTGAGATTGAAAACACGGAGGAAACGCGACGCTTTAAAACCTTCACCTGTAAAGCAAAGAATCAAATCAGCGAGAAGGAGAGCAAACCGGAGGAGAACCCATTCATCCTAAGAGAATGTGTGCTTTTCTTCAAAATTCTGATCAAATCTTTGGCCCTCCTGTTTCTGCTTATTTTTATGCTTTGGTTCTTTTGGAAGAACTGGAACGTCCTCTGTAGGTGTGGGTGCAGAGACAGAGAGAAGGATGACCTCTAGCTTTACTTCAGGAGCGGTTTGATTACTTTGTGCATCAGCAGGACGAGTCATTGCATCACTTCATATGTTTTATTCAGCTTTGCTTAGAAGCCATTGCTTTAGAAATGTGAGATTAATGGTTGTTTTCTGGAGAAATGCTCCTGCAGCAGTTTAAATAAAATGTTAAAGAAGAACAGAAAATGCTGGATCTTTGTTTTTCTTTTACCATTTTGAGATGAAGCTTTGACTGAAGCTGCTCTCCTCTTGAAAATCTGGATTTTTAAATCTGGATCCAGGCTCAAAATGAGCACCTTGATATGTGCCTGAGAATGGCTTAGTCTCCGGTTAAACCCAGGTTTAAAGCCTTGTAGGGCAGCCTAAAGCCCACTGCCAACATTAAGACAGAAAAAAGAAAGAAAATAACAAACCATCAGTTCAGGGGTTTGAGAAAATATGGGAATCAGGAAATTATCTATAAACCAAACTGAACGATTATTGTTCTCTACTTCAAAAAAACTTTCTTTGAATTTTTTTATTTTATTTTAAAATTCAATATATAACATGGATGCATTAAAACCTGCTTTTTATTTCAGTGTTAAATTCTGTTTAAAGTAACGGATTATAATAAAAATGTCTCCGGACCTTTACTGGATGATGATTTTCTTTATTCGGACCCCGCTGATTTTTAATTGGTTACCCCTGCTCTATTATCCATGTCATCTTGAAAACATTCTTCTTCCAAATGTTGGCTACATATTACAGGTTTTTTCTCTGGCCAGAAGTTCGATGGCAAATCCTCCCTCTTCAAGTTGGCGATCCAACGACCAACCCGTCCGTGGAGGATCAGGAATCAGAAAGGTGGAATAACTCTTTTTTTCACTTTTACCCAATGTATTCCAGCATCCAGCTGCCATGCACGTGGGCATTGTCAGTTTCACTATAGCTCTGGTGAATTTCAATGATGAAGTCCTCTGGAAATCTTCAATAATTGTTGTTGATTGCAGATGTGTCTAGTAGTTCCCATTGATTTAGCTTGGAAAGCGGGGAGAATGGCGCTAGGCTTACCGCACCGTGACGTCACTGCTGGAAGATGGCAGGAGGGAGGGGCTACTATATTTGGGAAAAAATGGCCGCTCCCAGACTCAGTGATCACAACGAAAATTATTGTTTTTATTTTTTTTACTAATTAAGGCTAAATTCATTAACGTAATGTATTCAATTCAATTCAGTTTACTTCTATAGCTCCAATTCCCATCATGTCATCTCAGGTCACTTTCCAGTTCACCAGATCATCCAGTCAGATTGATTCAAAGTTTTCTATCTAAGGAAAACCAGCTGATTGCATCGACTCATTGACTCTTCAGCAATCCCTCACACTAAGCATGCTTGTAGCGACAGTGGAGAGGAAAAACTCCCTTTGAACAGGAAGAAACCTCCAGCAGAACCAAGCTCAGTGTGAGCGGCCATCTGCTGAGGCCCACTGGGGTATCAGTTTTAGATATAGATAATGATCCATTGATTATTATTTGCTGACAGGACTTTCCTTTTAAATGTGAATTTCTATTTTAATTGACATATTCACTGTTGGCCTCTGAGGACAGAAACTGAATATTTCCAAACATACTGACTTTCAAAGGTCCATTAGATTTTATTTGGGGTTATCAGTAAAGAGCTTTGTAGGTTTTCTCACCACTCCTTTTAAGTTTTTATTTTCATGTTAATAATTTATCCTTGGGCCTCCCAATAATGCGCCACTGGTAGTCCATCTGATGCATTGATCTCTGTGACTTTAGGTTGACAATTTCACCGCTTTAGAATGCCACATTCCCCTGATGTATGTGTCATTTTATTTAAATATTTTTTGATTATTTATTTATTCAATGTGGGGGAAAGATTGTTTTCCTTTATATGAGAGTCTAAATGCAGCTTGATTAGTAAACTTGGTATTTTAGGTCTCAGCTGTAGTTCAGCAGCATTATGAAGAAGAAGATGCTGCAGTTCCACACAGTGTCCAGCAGATGGAGCAGTTACAGAGAGGAATGAGCCACAGGCTCTGCAGTTACAGACGCTGACCGGCGGGTGGCACTCTGAGCTTATTTGGGTCAGAATGACGTCATTGTTGGGGAATGTTAAAGATGGCGCCGGGCGGTCAGAGGAATGTTGCTGCAGCAACAAGCTGAAGGGATTTAATTAATCTTCCACTCGGCGGAAAACTTCTCTTTCTTCTACGGACTAAATCCTGGAGGTTCCGGAGCCGAACATGAGCCCATAGACCCGCTCGGACCCCGGTAACCCTGCGGTTCCTCCCGGTAAAATGGTAGCCGGATCCTCGGAGAACAACAGAAGCTGCTGCGGAGTTCGGCCCACCGAGCCGGAGGATTTAACGGCCGGGGCCGAGGCTTCAGCGGCGGACTGAGGAGGCATGGAGACGAAGGAGAGCGGAGGTTCGGTTCCTGTGGATCTAAACGAAAACGAGGAGGATTCTTTGGGTTCGGGTCCCAGGACGCTGAAGGAGCGGAGCCTGATGCTGCTGGCCGCTGTCAGCGGTGGGCAGGCGGGGGCCAGGACCCGGACTCAGGTCGATCTGAACAGAAGGAACGGAACCAAAGACCCGGAGATCATGCTGGTCTCTCCTGAGGACCGGTACCTCTCCGGACCGGAGGGTCCTGGCGGTCTGAACGGGTTTCCTGAGCCGCCTGTGGAAGAAGGAGGACCAGCAGCAGCATCCTGTCCAGCTGGGCTCCAGGATCCGGGGGAAGGAGACTCCCAGGACTGCGGGACCCCTCCCCACCATCAGCTCTCCTGTCCGGAGAGGCTGCAGGTGAACTGGTCCCGGACCTCAGCAGGTCACCCGGATCCGGGTGTGAACATGTCCAACGGGGTGACAGTCAGCCCGGATCCTTGGTCCGTCCACCTCCTGGGTCAGAGACTGGCTCAGTGTGACGTGGATTGTGACACAGGGAAAGTTGCCAATGGTGGTTTGCATACTTTGAGCTCTGGCTGTGAGTGGCCCGGTTCAGACTGTTACCCCAGGAACACGGAGTCTGGGTCTCTGAGCTGGGGTTACTGTCTCCCTCAGTACCAGAGATCTGATCCAACATCAGCGACTGACCCCATCTGGGATACTTCCAGTCCAGAACCAAGGTCCAGAACCCCCTCGCCCTGCTCCTCCAGTCCCCTGTCTGAGCTCAACACCCAGCCGGAGGATGAGGAGGGTCTGGGTGACCCCTGTGTCCCCGTCAGGCCTCAGAGTCTGAGGACTAACCCCAACGCCACCGTGTCCCTGAGCTGCGATGCCACCCCGCTGTCCCCTGATGGGGATGGGGGGTTCTACTTGGATCCTGAGGCGGGTGTTCTGGAAGCAGGTCGGAGGCAGAGCGCCCCGGATAAACTGAGCGAGGAGACCGAGGGTTCGGAGCTCAAAGTGTTGCCCAAAAGGTTCGGGATTGCAGATTTCTTCACCAGGTAAGACTCTGGTTTTATCCCAAAATCCTGGTCCGGTTCATTCATGAGGTTTACGGTTTGATGCTTCAGAAAATAAAAACCTGCTGAATCCTCCATCATCATTTCAGAACCAGACTCAAACAGGAACAAACCAGATGAAGCTACTATGATGAGAAAAAGCAGAAAAAACATAAAGGAAGGGATTACAACAGAATACGAGTTCCAAAAAAGTAAAAAACAAAAAACAAAACAAACAATCCACTGCACTTTATTTCCTAGCTTGAAGACATTTCTCTTCCATCCAGGAAGCTTTTTCAATTGAAAAGTCAGAAAAAGTGTCGAAGCGTTATAGAGCGGACCAAAAACAAAGCATTATTTTTTCAGAATAGGAGAATAGAGATAGAATGAAGCAGAGGAAAAGTGGTCTCTATGTCCTCCAGCATCATAAGCCTATAGAGACCAGCTTCTCTAATGGTGGATTAAATCACAGCGGAACCTTTGTCCGTTTAATCTGCTTTATTTCCAGCACCTATTGAGACAGTGTGAGGACTGAGGTTCTGGAACCTTCTCAGGTTCCACAGAAACACCACCGGTGGTTCTGGTCAAAGAAGGAACCAGACCCGTTTCAGCCGATGGTTTAATAGTGTGACAGCAGAGGTCAGGCGGTCCAGTTATTCAGAACCTGTGGAGATGAAGGCTCAGTCTGGGTGCAGGATGATCTGAGAGACGACATCGTCCGTCTGCTGCTCTTTCCTGATCAGATCGATGGTAAACATCCCCCGTTTAGTTCTCAGAACCATTTGGACCTAATGGGAAGAAAATGGCAGAACTTAAACATAAGGGTTTGGGTTTTTAGTCTGTGGGTGGAGCTCTAATGCTACGTTCAGACTGCAAGCAGCAGAAGCAGCTTTACATGGAAAGTCAATGGTTGATGCACATTGAGGCGCAGCAAAAGGAGTTTAGCTGCTGGACGCCGCATCAACCAATGAGAGAAGCTGATCTGGGAGCTGGCAGGGAGTCAGACGCAGCACTGCTGATGTAGAGCGCTATGATCACTCCTCTGAAACAGTTTATTAACGCCTAAATTAACTTAGAATGTAGAAACCTGCCGGCAGAATATGTTGGCTTTTATTATCCTGCTGCCTGCAGTTTGGATTACGTACGTGAAAAACGCCTTCCAGCCGCCGCGAACGGTAGCGGAAAACCGCAAAGAGGCGACGGGGCCACAGGTATGGAAGTAAATCTGTGTCGCTGTGATTTGAATTAAAAATGCCACTGAAAATTAAATGTATGTTTGTTTTAACCGTTTCAGTGTTAAAATATATTCAGAACACATTTTTGACCTAAAAAGAAGTTCATTGTCATTATTTCTACACAGAAATAATTTATTTTCTCTTCAAGCTAAAAATTCATATTACTATTTCAAAGTGATTCCATTGCCGGTCATGCAAGCTAACGCTAACTCAACGGTGAGTTTATTACTTTAATTTTCACATCAGACCCACTGTTCCATCGCACAGCCAGAGCAGCAAAGATGCTTCAGCCGCGCATCAGAAATAAACTAAAGTTCCCTGCAAGCATCAAAAATAAAGCAGAACGCACGTTTTTGATGCTTCTGCGGCGTGCGGTCTGAACGTAGCATAAGCCGGCATTAATGGTGCCGCTAAAAGATGAATGATTCCAGAAAACGGTGAAACGGTTCTAAGGTAGGATCATGGTTCTGGCTGCCATAGTTCAGCTCAGGATGAACCCAGATAAGAAGAAACAAAAGAGAAAACTGTTTATTTAGTGTGAAATGTTTTCATGAAGGGTAACTGAGTTAGATGATTCATCCAGGGAGGCGAGGGGTGAAGTCGATCCAGGATGGAGGCTATAAAAAGTGAGAGGTTTGGTTTGGAGCCGCATAGTTCCGGATCTCTGCGGTTCCTGCCTGAACCTCCATCTGCTGAAGTGTTGCTTCAGTTTGGACGTCAGCCTCAGCAGCTGGAATCTCCTAGACCTGCAGGAAATCCAGACAGACGGAGGGGAGGGAGGGGGGCGCTGTGGGTCACGTGGCCCGGTTCCAGACACGCACAGCAGGAAACCAGAGACGGTGTTCCTCTGCACCTCCGTGGTGAACCTCAGCGCCGGCTCTGCTTGGCGGTTCTGGTGAATCTGTTCTAAGGCTGAAGGTCTGCTGCTGATTCTGTTCAGATAAAAATCATCTCCGGTTCTGAGGAGCAAAGGAGAAACCGCTGACTCAGCCAACTTCCCTGTTTCTGATCCGGTTCTGCTTCACAGCAACATGTGAGACCGTGAAGTGAAACCTGTTCCGCATCGGCCCGTCTGAACCTCTAGAACGGCCCGACTTAGACACTGAAGCGTGTACGCCGCAGTGATGGACAGGAAGTTGAAGCGCCACTTCCTGCTAACTCAAAGTCTAGTGAAACTCTTGGTTCTGTTTAGAGCGTGTTTGAACTCTGATCAATATCTCTGCGACCTTCTCCACCCACGCTCTCTGCATGTTCTCCCGGTACCTTCATGGGTTCTTCCCTGGTACTCCAGCTTCCTCCCTCAGTCCAAACTTCCCTTCATGAGTCGTTTTTCCGGGTATAACCCACGGACAGAGTCCAGACGTTCGGATCACACGGATCCCTGCTCTGAATCTTCATTCAGTTCCATATTTGGGTCTTTGTTTGGCGATCGGACATGTCGGCTGTGGTGGTCACATGTCTGCTGTCTCCATGGCGCCTCAGAGGCGAAGCTGCAGGAGCAAAGATGGACCTGAAACCTCTGCTTACCCTGAACTCCCTCATCCTCCGTCTCCGCTGCGCTACGCTCCGCCTGGGCAAAGCAAAGCCTACATCCTCCGCTGTCCCTCCCGTCCTGCTCCGCTCCGACTTCCTCAGAGCTGGAGGAAAGCATGCGCGGTATTATTATTAAATTCATAGGAGCCAGAGATTGGGAAATGAACGCTTAATTTAATCTGACATTAAAAATAATCCTCATCAGCATCCAGCATATGAACAGTTTCTGCCCAGATATTATTCTTTTCATTGTGGATGTAACACGGATAATTAGGATGATATAAAATAGTTTTTTTATGAACTGTTTGTTTTCTGCTTCCAAACTCAGCGTCTCTTCATCCATTCCTGCAACAAGAAGTTTGTTTTGACTGGATGTGATTAAACTTTTAATTCTCTCGGTATAAAATAAATATTTTTATGTAGATGAGAAAATCTGCTTTCTGGTTTGTTGAACCAACAGTTTGCATCCAACCCTTTAATTAAATGGTTTCGTTTTTTGGTAATTATGCTCTAATTTTTAGTTGCCAATCTATTGTTACTATATTTTAATTTAAACCGGATCTTCTGGACGTTCTTTCTCCGGTTTGGTGCGATTGCGGATCTTGAGCTGGCCGGATCGGAGCGGAGCAAGAAATAAGTCGGCTTGGTGTTTTGACGCTGAAGGACGGAGAAAACGTACGTGGACGGAGACGTGCGAACGCGTAGCTGTGGAAGAGTTCTCATCGATTAACATGACAGACAAGTAATCCGCACGACGTACGTGAGCGGAGACGGAACCACCGATCACTATTGACTGGATTGCTGATTGCCCATTGGTAGCAGGTTGAAGTGAAGCCACCGGCCGCCATATTGGTACTCCCTAGTTAGACCGGTCTCAATGTAAACAATCTGTTCTCATTTTCAGGCAGACTCACTTTGACACAGACTGGCTGTTTCATAGCATCAATAGATTATTTTAACTTAAAATAAAACAATAAGCTCATCACATTGCAGACTCATTATGAAGTCTATAAATCAGGTAATATAACATATTATATTAATCTATCACAATAAAATTAATGTGTTAATAGAGCAGAGTAATACAGATGAGCCAAAAGTGATAAATTGATGATGTACATGAAACATTGATGACATTATCGTTGTAATTATATATTGCATATAATTTCACGATTTTGCATCAAGACTGAATTCCAAGTAAACGTCTATTAATGCTATTTTCCTATTTGCTAATCGTGCATAAATGCTTCCATATACTTTAACGTTGTTTCTGTGAATTACTTTCTATTTCCTCTAGTTTCTATTTTCTAACGTTAGACCCAACGTCAATGGCTAACTCAGTCAATATCTTCCAGTTAGTCTGAGATAGCCAGACTAATGCTAGCCAGACTAATGCTAGCCAGACTAATGTTACGCTACAGACTAATGTTAGCCAGACTAATGCTAGCCAGACTAATGCTAGCCAGACTAATGTTACGCTACAGACTAATGCTAGCCAGACTAATGCTAGCCAGACTAATGCTAGCCAGACTAATGTTACGCTACAGACTAATGTTAGCCAGACTAATGCTAGCCAGACTAATGTTACGCTACAGACTAATGTTATCCAGACTAATGCTAGCCAGACTAATGCTAGCCAGACTAATGCTACGCTATAGACTAATGCTACGCTATAGACTAATGCTAGCCAGACTAATGCTAGCCAGACTAATGCTAGCCAGACTAATGCTACGCTATAGACTAATGCTAGCCAGACTAATGCTAGCCAGACTAATGCTAGCCAGACTAATGCTACGCTATAGACTAATGTTAGCCAGACTAATGCTACGCTACAGACTAATGTTACGCTACAGACTAATGCTACGCTATAGACTAATGTTAGCCAGACTAATGCTAGCCAGACTAATGCTACGCTACAGACTAATGTTAGTCTGCAGACTATACTATAGGATCCATCGGCTATAGATGGATTTATTGGTTAGTTCATCCACTGACTGGGAAATGACCAGTGGAACGTCTTCCTGCAGACAGAAATCTGCTGGTCTTAGTAGCTAAATGCTGAACAGGGAGGCATTTTTACTGAGGGTCTCTGTGGGAGCGGGGAGTACCAATATGGCGGATGACGGCTTCACTTTTTTCGGGCAATCAGCGATCCAGTGAGTAGAGATCAGTGGGCGGAGCCCTGATGGCGTTTGTGGAATCTGAGGGTTATTTAGGCCACATTGAGGCTCATTTGGTTTTTTAAACAAGCTCAGATCTCCTGGTTTCTGGGAGCAGAAGATGAGTTCAGTGTTTCTTTGGTGGCCTCCACTAGGTCTCCTCTGGACGTCAGAGGAACAGAGACAGTCCTTTAGTTTAAAGGATTCAGAACGACAGACTGATCAGTGTGAGGAGGTTAAACTTTAGAGAGGAGCATGTTCCTGCTTGTTTAAACAAACCTTTTAATAAATGTTCCTGAGACACGCAGACATCCAGAAGTTATTCTCTGACTCTGACTGTGTTTTAGAGCTGAGATTGTTTCCTTCCTAAATCCTGCTCCTTCCCATCAGCTGACCCAGACTTTTCTACTGAAGCAGATTTAAAACTGTTGATCTCATGGCTTTTTTTCCACTAACATCATTAACGGCGCAGCAGAAACTGCTGCTGATGCACTAATGCAGCACATGTTTGTAACAACCGTTCTTGCTTAACTGGGTTTAAGGAACTGAAACATGTTTTTCTCTGTAGTTTTGTTTAGTCTATGGATGCAAAGAGGCCGAGTTGTTTCCACCTAAGACGTGATTAATGATAAAATAAAGCAGCATCGAGAGGCTGTGGAAAAATGACACATTCAAACCTCCTTTCTAAATCTGCTGAGGATTATATGGTTCTACATTTTAACCACTTTTAATAATTATCTCAGTTTTTATGATCACTCTGAACTGACTTTGCTTTAAAACTCTCCATTAGTTGAGAACTGGGGAAAAAGTACATTTTGCACTTAATGGATTAATAAACAGATAGCAAAAGGTTCCTTAAAGTCGTAGCAAATAATATTTAAATGTCAAATCATTCTGACTTAAACACGTATTTAAATGTTCTCTTTATCAGACCATATTGTCCCAAAAGTTACTTTTCTTTTCTTTCTCTACTTTTCTTCATCAATGAGACTGTTTTTTTTCCTAATGTTTATCTGTTTTGGATTGAAGGTATAGTGGAGGATTTTCTCAAATTTTTGAAAAGACCCGCCCTCTCCACTAAAAAAAAAATGCACATGCACAACCCTGTACCCGCTCCCGACTGGGAACGCTTATAAAACGTGTACGAGAGCGTGCACCAGCCTATTTCTCCTCGTGTTCTCATAGCTCATATCCGCCCTAACCCCTAGATCCCTCCATTACTTTAATAGAGCGAGGACTATATGGTGAACTTTATAGTGAACTCGGTTAACAGACCGTTCGCACAGATGATCACTGTTTTATGCTCCCCATTGGTCACATAACTCCGCCTCCACCGTGCGGTGCCTTCGCCATCTTTGGTATTGTCATCGCTGTCAGGAGGCGACAGCGGGCCACTGTGACAGAAAATTCCATGATCAGGGCTCGATGTTAACCATCGCCCGGGGCAAGTAGCTTTTATTGCCGGGAGAGTACAAAAAAAAAAAAAAATGTTATCACTCAAAATTACTTTTAAATCACCGACATTCGCTGAAAATGACCCACAAGCGTTGCCGGCGCCATTTTTGTTTTTATACACATTCTTGCATGATATGAAAAAGCCGGGTGATTTTCCGCTAGATGGCGTGATTTTCGTCCACCTAGCGGTAATTTTGATGTAGTTGCCAAAACGACAAACGAGCTAGAAAGCGCTATCATAGACAGTCTTCTGTACAGTGATGCAGATCATACATTAAAACATTTTCATTACATTTTTTTCTCTTAGACATTGGAGAGGTGCATTTAAATGTTATAGAGCTAAACATGTTAGATTGGTGACCTGTTATGTTATTATTATCATCTTGTTGCTATTATTCTGTCAGGGAAAACTAATCCTGAGTCGGTTAAAAGTAGTGTTGCACCGATACCGATACCAGTATCGGACGGGGCCCCGATACTGCCCTAAAATAGTGGCAAATATAGGGCACCGATACCATTTTGAGAGCCATACGTTTATTCAACTATTGTCACCCATTCCAGGTAGGCAATAAAAACTTTTTATTTTTATTATCCAGTAGAACTTTTTATTAAAAAATTCTACTGGATTCACTTTGTATTAGATTTTTTCCTGCTACACAAAGGTAGGCAGCAGCTTGACAAAGCCATGATGGCAAATATTTTACATTATTATGGTGTCGGTATTGGCCGATACTGCACAGCCAGGTATCGGGTATCGGTATCGGCGCAACACTAGTTAAAAATCAGGGAATTCTGAAATGATGTCAGACTGTGGAAACCCTGAATAAAATAACTATGTATAAAGATTCTCTAGAAAAGTCACATTATATTAATAGTATTATCTTGTATAAACATACCGTGACTCTAAAATAAAGGTTATTCATTTTTGACATTGACTTCTGTCTTGTGATTTATCTTAAGATTTTTAGATTTTTAACATTACAGTTTATATTTTTCCAAGCACACAACAGTTTAAAGCAAAGTTTAGTTTGTAAAGAATGAGCAGGAAGGATTGAAAAGCATGTTAACACGGTAATGTAGGCTGGAGTTCATTATCTGACGCATGCAGATACACACCAGGAACCTGGAAACTTAAAAAATACTGAATTACAAAAAACATTTAAAAATGTTTCATTGATATATATACAAAAATGAATATTAGGAACTATATTTATCAAACATTATACTGGGCAAGTAAAAATAGTTTCTGGGCAAATGAAATGTGAAAGTCACTTGCCCGAAAAAAGATCCTTAATGCCAACCCCTGCATAATGCTTTGCTAGAAGAGCTCTCTGTGCAAAGCATTCTGGGATATATCTGCCTCTTCTGAGGCCTTTCTTTTCTTCTCATACATTAAAGTGTCATAAACAAGTTTTCTTTTACGATTCTCGGCCATTTTTAAAGTACCGCGGTGAGAAAGGTGAGCTTCAATGACCGTCTGAAACCACAGATATAGGCCTGAAAGCGCGCATGTGCAGAAAAAGAGGACGGCCTTACGTAAACATATAACCAGAATGATCGATAATTAGGAGAACAACTTATTGAGATGATCCACCCGGAAATAAAAGATCCTCCTCTATACCTTTAACTGACATTAAATTTGATCAAATTCTTTAACAGTTTTTTTTTCCCTCTTCAGGAGCCTGTTTTCTAGGAAACCCAAAGAGTCCCGGACAGTTTCCCACAATGCACCAGGATGGAGACTGTTTGGAAAGGCGGAAAGCAGAGAGGAGGATCAGAGACGAGAGGCGGCCCCCAGCGTGGCCCCTCAGCAGGTTGGTTCTGGCCTCTTCGCCGCGCCTATGAGACGAGACATACAATAAAGCAACACCTTGAAACTATCGCAGCTCCCATGTCAGAGGATGAAGAGAGCACATCCAGTTAGTCACAGTCAGAGAAACAGGACTACACTGGAAAACAGGCCAAGCTCCAACATCTAGAAACAAAGGTGTTGATGGCAGCAGCACAGCTGATATTTCTTTCCAGGATGGAGTCACAGCCAAACAGGAACAGACCAGATGAAGCTACTATGAGAAAAAGCAGAGAGAGCAGAACGTTAGAGATTGAACTAACAGATTCTGCAGAGTGGGAGAATAGAGATAGAATGAAGCAGAATAATTTGTTCTAAATCATTATTTCTAGTCCAAATTAGCCTCTTTCTTATTGTTGTCCTCTGGGTTTCTGTGATGGGGTGGGATAGGATCCTCCTGGTGACCTCCTGACCCCAGCGAAGGTCGGATCTTAGCCGCTGCAGTAAACCTGCTCTGCGTTTTATAAAAAAAAACCTCAAACCACCAGAAACCAGTTTGTTGTTGGTTATTTACGTTTGTTTTCCAGTCAGGTGCTTCGCTGCATCTGTTCTCATGTGATGTCACGGCTGGATTGGGACTGTAAAATGGATTAGTGGGAGTGGTTGCTAAGCGACCTGCACACAGAGGCTGCTGTCGATGAGGCAGACGGTGAGAACAACAGCGACTGTGAGCCTGAAGCCGAGCAGAAAACCCTCCAGCGTGTTTTATCCGTTAGTCTGAGCTCTGCTGAGGCGCTTCCTGCTGCTGCCTGGGTCACATGACTCATCAGGGCAGCCCGCCACGTGTGTTTTGGCCCCGAGCGGCTGACACGTAGGAGACACTAGAGGAGAGGGAGGAGCCTCAGATGTTTCCAGATGTTGTAATCTGGATTGAAACCGTAGGGAAACGTAGCACAACTGGAGACGTTTTTCTCTCTTTACGCTTCGGTTTAGCTCCACAATAATCTGAGCTGGAGGGAAAAATCTTTCATCGGGAGAAGCAGACCCAAAGAACCAAACAGGACAGAATCCTGCTGCAGCTCAAAGCCCCACGGAGCCCAGCTGGATCTGCTCTAACGGAGCAGGAACGTTTAGACGGTTCTGATTCAGGGACCCAGCAGGACCCAATCAGCTTCAGTTTATCTAAGGACCGACCTTCACATCTTCCCAAACAGTTTATCTTGTGGAGAAGCTTCCTTTTTTCCAAAACAGGTCTTCTGGTCATTGTTGTGCTACTTTGGATTTAGATGATTTTCACATTAGCTTAAGAAACTAAATATTTATAAACAGAGCACAGAGCTACTTATCAGGCCATGAAAACGTTAAACTGGGAAGGCCCGGCTATTATTATGAGATTTCAAGGGGGCGGTTTGTGCTACCTACACCTAGCCATGCCCTCATGTCCTTACTTACAGTGAGGAAAATCAGTTGCTAGTTTGCAGGTTTCCCTCTTAGAAATTATGGAGGAGTCTGAAACTATCATCATAGTTGCATGTCTACAATGAGAGACATTATCTAAAAAAAATCCAGACATCCCAATGCATGACTTTTTACTTTTTTAGCTATTTATTTTCATGATACAGCTGCAAATAAGTATTTGAGCACCTGAGAAAATCAATGTTGATATTTGGTACTGTTTGCACACGCTGCAGGAGGGATTTTGGCCCATTCCTCCTCACAGATCTACTCTAGAAGAGTCAGGTTTCTGGGCTGTCACTCCCTCCTAAGATTCTCTATTGGGTTTAGGTCTGGAGACTGGCTAGGCCACACCAGAACCTAGATCTGCTTCTTCTAGAGCCGCTCCTTGGTTATCCTGGCTGTGTGCTTCGGCTCATTGTGATGCTGGAAGACCCAGCCTCCACCCGTCTTCACTGCTCTAACTGAGGGACGGAGGTTGTTCCCCAGAATCTACCAACACATGGCGCCGCTCATCCTCTCCTTAATACACTCGCCCTGTCCCATGTGCTGAAAAACACCCCCAAGCATCATGCTGCCACCCCCATGCTTCACAGTAGGGATGCTATTCATCAAACACGGTTGGTGGAATTAGGCCATAAAGTTCTATTTGGTCTCATCTGATCACATGACTTTCTCCCATGACTCCTCTGGATCCAGATGCTCGTTACCTGCAGACAGTTCTTGACATGAGCTGCTTTAAGCAGAGGAACCTTCCATGCATGATTTCAAACCACGAGGTCTTAGTGTGTTTACATCAGTAACCATAGAAACGGTGGTCCCTGCTCCTCCCATGTAGTTCTGGGCTGATTTCTCACCTTTCTTAGGAACCTTAGAGGCCCCACCAGGTGGGATCTTGCATGGAGCTCCAGTCTGAGGGAGATGGACATTCATGTTTAGCTTCTTCCATTTTCTAATGAAGCTCCAACAGTGGAGCTTTTTCCACCAAGCTGATTGTTTATTTCCCCGTAGCCGTTTCCAGCCTGGTGGAGGAGGACAGTTTAGTCTCTGGTGTCTTTGGACAGCTCTTTGGTTCTGGTTGTTAGTAGTTGGATTCTTGATGATTGTTTGGGGTGAACAGGTGTCTTTATGCAGCTAATGAGTAACAGGTCTTTGACGGTCAGAACTATAGCTGATAGACAGGTGTTCAAATACTTATTTGCAGCTGGATCATACAAATCATACATTGTGATCTCTGGATTTTTTTTTTTATTATGTCTGTCACTGTGGACATGCACCTACAATGACAATTTCAGACCCGTCATGATTTTTAAGTGGAACCTGCAGCATAGCAGGGTGTTCAAACAATATGTACACAGTTACATTTCCTCATGGCGACCCATGAATGCTCTTCCTATAATTAGAAATAAAACTTGCTCGATTTCAGCTGTTTTAAACAAAGACAAAAAATCCGGGGTGAGTCCAACCTTTAAGTAGTTTAGTATCTATTTGTGTTGTTTCTTTATCTCCTGATTTAAATGGAGCAGCTTCAGAGGGAGGTTCTGTCTCCCCCTGCTGGCCGTGGGCAGTAGGGCTGTTATCAATGGCTGCTGTTGTGGCGCGGAGCTGCAGCTGTGCTTCTCTGAATGAGCCGTTCATGGTGCAGAGCGACCGCACACACGCCTCACTACATGGCTGCCATTCAGCAGGAGGACATGTGCTCATTAACATGCGTGTTCACACCGGTCATACATGAAGAAACGCCTCAGCTGGTTTACTAACAGCCTCTGTTCTACATTCAGTCCCATTAACAGAAACCAGAACCGCTGCTTCATCAGAACCATGAGAGGACGGGGTTCTGCTGGATTTCAGCTCTGCTCTTTGTTTACTGTCCACAGGAGGAAGAGGAGGACGGGACGGACTCATCCTCGTGTCCCCAGCGCCCCCCCGCTGCAGGACGGAGGAAGAACCTGGAGTTTGAGCCTCTGTCCACCACAGCTCTGATCCTGGAGGACAGGCCGTCGTGAGTGTCTCTAGAAATGGGTCAGATGGGGAACCGCCCACCCGTCTGATTGGACTCTCTGTCTGTCCCTCAGGAACCTGCCGGCGAAGTCAGTGGAGGAAACTCAGCGACACAAGCTGGAGTACGAGGAGATGGTGGCAGGAGCCAAGAGGAGAGGTGAGAAACCCAGGGAACGGTTCTAAGGGTTCTATTGGAGAAGTCGTGGGAACGGTTCTGCAGGTTCTACTGCGGGTTCTATCGGAGAAACCGTGGGAACGGTTCTGCGGTTTCTATGGGAGAAACCGTGGGAACGGTTCTGCGGTTTCTATGGGAGAAACCGTGGGAACGGTTCTACGGGTTATATCGGAGAAACCTTGGGAACGGTTCTGCGTTTTCTATGGGAGAAACCTTGGGAACGGTTCTGCGTTTTCTATGGGAGAAACCTTGGGAACGGTTCTGCGTTTTCTATGGGAGAAACCTTGGGAACGGTTCTGCGTTTTCTATGGGAGAAGCCGTGGGAACGGTTCTGCAGTTTCTATTGGAGAAACCTTGGGAACGGTTCTGCGGTTTCTATCGGAGAAACCTTGGGAACGGTTCTGCGGTTTCTATGGGAGAAACCGTGGGAACGGTTCTACGGGTTATATCGGAGAAACCTTGGGAACGGTTCTGCACTTTCTATTGGAGAAACCGTGGGAATGGTTCTGCTGTTTCTATGGGAGAAACCGTGGGAACGGTTCTGCGGTTTCTATGGGAGAAACCGTGGGAACGGTTCTACGGGTTATATCGGAGAAACCGTGGGAACGGTTCTGCACTTTCTATTGGAGAAACCGTGGGAATGGTTCTGATGTTTCTATGGGAGAAACCGTGGGAACGGTTCTGCGGTTTCTATGGGAGAAGCCATGGGAACGGTTCTACGGGTTATATCGGAGAAACCTTGGGAACGGTTCTGCACTTTCTATTGGAGAAACCGTGGGAATGGTTCTGCTGTTTCTATGGGAGAAACCGTGGGAACGGTTCTGCGGGTTCTATCGGAGAAACCGTGGGAACGGTTCTACGGGTTCTATGGGAGAAACCGTGGGAACGGTTCTGCGGTTTCTATGGGAGAAACCGTGGGAACGGTTCTGCGGTTTCTATGGGAGAAACCGTGGGAACGGTTCTGCGGTTTCTATGGGAGAAACCGTGGGAACGGTTCTACGGGTTATATCGGAGAAACCTTGGGAACGGTTCTGCGTTTTCTATGGGAGAAACCTTGGGAACGGTTCTGCGTTTTCTATGGGAGAAACCTTGGGAACGGTTCTGCGTTTTCTATGGGAGAAACCTTGGGAACGGTTCTGCGTTTTCTATGGGAGAAGCCGTGGGAACGGTTCTGCAGTTTCTATTGGAGAAACCTTGGGAACGGTTCTGCGGTTTCTATCGGAGAAACCTTGGGAACGGTTCTGCGGTTTCTATGGGAGAAACCGTGGGAACGGTTCTACGGGTTATATCGGAGAAACCTTGGGAACGGTTCTGCACTTTCTATTGGAGAAACCGTGGGAATGGTTCTGCTGTTTCTATGGGAGAAACCGTGGGAACGGTTCTGCGGTTTCTATGGGAGAAACCGTGGGAACGGTTCTACGGGTTATATCGGAGAAACCGTGGGAACGGTTCTGCACTTTCTATTGGAGAAACCGTGGGAATGGTTCTGATGTTTCTATGGGAGAAACCGTGGGAACGGTTCTGCGGTTTCTATGGGAGAAGCCATGGGAACGGTTCTACGGGTTATATCGGAGAAACCTTGGGAACGGTTCTGCACTTTCTATTGGAGAAACCGTGGGAATGGTTCTGCTGTTTCTATGGGAGAAACCGTGGGAACGGTTCTGCGGGTTCTATCGGAGAAACCGTGGGAACGGTTCTACGGGTTCTATGGGAGAAACCGTGGGAACGGTTCTGCGGTTTCTATGGGAGAAACCGTGGGAACGGTTCTGCGGTTTCTATGGGAGAAACCGTGGGAACGGTTCTGCGGTTTCTATGGGAGAAACCGTGGGAACGGTTCTACGGGTTATATCGGAGAAACCTTGGGAACGGTTCTGCGTTTTCTATGGGAGAAACCTTGGGAACAGTTCTGCGTTTTCTATGGGAGAAACCTTGGGAACGGTTCTGCGTTTTCTATGGGAGAAACCTTGGGAACGGTTCTGCGTTTTCTATGGGAGAAGCCGTGGGAACGGTTCTGCAGTTTCTATTGGAGAAACCTTGGGAACGGTTCTGCGGTTTCTATCGGAGAAACCTTGGGAACGGTTCTGCGGTTTCTATGGGAGAAACCGTGGGAACGGTTCTACGGGTTATATCGGAGAAACCTTGGGAACGGTTCTGCACTTTCTATTGGAGAAACCGTGGGAATGGTTCTGCTGTTTCTATGGGAGAAACCGTGGGAACGGTTCTGCGGTTTCTATGGGAGAAACCGTGGGAACGGTTCTACGGGTTATATCGGAGAAACCGTGGGAACGGTTCTGCACTTTCTATTGGAGAAACCGTGGGAATGGTTCTGATGTTTCTATGGGAGAAACCGTGGGAACGGTTCTGCGGTTTCTATGGGAGAAGCCATGGGAACGGTTCTACGGGTTATATCGGAGAAACCTTGGGAACGGTTCTGCACTTTCTATTGGAGAAACCGTGGGAATGGTTCTGCTGTTTCTATGGGAGAAACCGTGGGAACGGTTCTGCGGGTTCTATCGGAGAAACCGTGGGAACGGTTCTACGGGTTCTATTGGAGAAACCGTGGGAATGGTTCTATGGGTTTGGATCAGCGCACCGCCCCGCCTCATGCTCTACATTTTTATATTAACATATAATTTCTGGTGTCTCCTTCAGAAATGAAGGAAGCCCAGAAGAAGAAGCGTCAGATGAAGGAGAGACACCGACAGGAGGACAGCATCTCCAGCGCCATGGTGATCTGGAACCAGGAGATCCTCCCTCACTGGGACAGCGTGTAGGTTCTGCAGGTCCTCCGGGTTCTGCGGTGTTGGTCGGAGGGCGTGTTCGCGGCTCACTGAGTGTGTTTGTGTTCAGAAAGGCGACGCGGCGCGTCCGTGAGCTCTGGTGGCAGGGCCTTCCTCCTGGAGTCCGAGGAAGAGTGTGGAGCCTGGCCATCGGGAACGAGCTCAACATCACCCCAGGTACCAAGGGGAAGCGGGTTCTCCTCCACCCTCGGGCGCTGACCGGTCCATTCAGGCCCGGTTCTAGTGGTGCTGAATGTTCCGTTCTGTTTGTGTTCCTGCAGAGCTGTATGAGATCTTCCTGTCCAGAGCCAAAGAGAAGTGGAGGAGCTACAGCGAGACCAGCTCGGTCAACGACAACGAGAGCGGTACCGGAGTGGGGCGGGAAGCCTGGTCAGAACCGGGCCGGCGGCGGAGCTAACAGCTGTTCTGTGTTTCTGTGTAGATGGAGGAGCTTCGCTGGCCGACAGGGAGTCCAGTCTGGACCTCATCAAGCTGGACATCTCCAGAACCTTCCCATCTCTCTTCATCTTCCAGAAGGTACCGGACCTGCAGCGGTTCTGACGGGTCAGGTTGGAGGTTCTGGGGCGTTTGGGGTGACGTTGTTCTGTTGTGTTTGCAGGGCGGTCCGTACCACGACCTGCTACACAGCGTTCTGGGAGCGTACACCTGCTACAGACCCGACATCGGATACGTGAGTCCTCCTCAGGTTCTGTGATGGACCCGTAGAACCTCTCCCGGTCCGACTCAGAGTTGTGTGTGTTTCAGGTCCAGGGGATGTCGTTCATCGCGGCCGTGCTGATCCTCAACCTGGAGGAGGCCGAGGCCTTCATCACATTCGCCAACCTGCTCAACAAACCCTGTCAGATGGCCTTCTTCAGAGTGGACCACGACCTGGTAACCAGCTGCACCATTCCAGAACTTTCCAGAACCCCAGAGATCTGTAGCTATCTGCTCTCTCTCCCAGATGTTAAAGTATTTCACAGCCTTTGAGATGTTCTTCGAGGAAAATCTGCCTCGTCTCTTCAGCCACTTCCAGACAAACAGCCTGACCCCTGACCTCTACCTGATCGACTGGTGAGTCCATCAGACCCCGAACCGGCCTCCTCTGGGGCCTGTAAACACGTTAGCCCTGCAGCTAACGTGTGTGCTTATTAGCATGTAAACACGTTAGACCTGCAGCTAACGTTTGTGCTTATTAGCATTTAAACACGTTAGCCCTGCAGCTAACTTTTGTGCTTATTAGCCTGTAAACACGTTAGCAATGCAGCTAACGTTTGTGCTTAATAGCCTGTAAACATGTTAGCACTGCAGCTTACGTTTGTGCTTATTAGCCTGTAAACACGTTAGCCCTGCAGCTAATGTTTGTGCTTATTAGCATGTAAACACGTTAGCCCTGCAGCTAACGTTTGTGCTTATTAGCATGTAAACACGTTAGCCCTGCAGCTAACGTTTGTGCTTATTAGCATTTAAACACGTTAGCCCTGCAGCTAACGTTTGTGCTTATTAGCATGTAAACACGTTAGCCCTGCAGCTAACGTTTGTGCTTATTAGCATTTAAACACGTTAGCCCTGCAGCTAACGTTTGTGCTTATTAGCATGTAAACACGTTAGCCCTGCAGCTAACGTGTGTGCTTATTAGCATGTAAACACGTTAGCCTTGCAGCTAACGTTTGTGCTTATTAGCATTTAAACACCTTAGCCCTGCAGCTAACGTTTGTGCATAGTAGCCTGTAAACACGTTAGCACTGCAGCTAACGTTTGTGCTTATTAGCCTGTAAACACGTTAACACTGCAGCTAACGTTTGTGCTTGTTAGCCTGTAAGCATGTTAGCCCTGCAGCTAACGTTTGTGCTTGTTAACCTGTAAACATGTTAGCCCTGCCGCTAACGTTTGTCCCTTTTAGCCTGTAAACACGTTAGCCGTGCAGCTAACGTTTGTGCTTGTTAGCCTGTAAACACGTTAGCACTGCAGCTAACGTTTGTGCTTGTTAACCTGTATACATGTTAGCCCTGCCGCTAACGTTTGTCCCTTTTAGCCTGTAAACACATTAGCCCTGCAGCTAACGTTTGTGCTTGTTAGCCTGTAAACACGTTAGCACTGCAGCTAACGTTTGTGCTTGTTAGCCTGTAAACACGTTAGCACTGCAGCTAACGTTTGTGCTTATTAGCATGTAAACACGTTAGCCCTGCAGCTAACGTTTGTGCTTATTAGCATGTAAACACGTTAGCCCTGCAGCTAACGTTTGTGCTTATTAGCATGTAAACACGTTAGCCCTGCAGCTAACATTTGTGCTTATTAGCATGTAAACACGTTAGCCCTGCAGCTAACGTTTGTGCTTATTAGCATGTAAACACGTTAGCCCTGCAGCTAACGTTTGTGCTTATTAGCATGTAAACACGTTAGCCCTGCAGCTAACGTTTGTGCTTATTAGCATGTAAACACGTTAGCCCTGCAGCTAACGTGTGTGCTTATTAGCATGTAAACACGTTAGCCCTGCAGCTAACGTTTGTGCTTATTAGCATGTTAACACGTTAGCCCTGCAGCTAACGTTTGTGCTTATTAGCATGTAAACACGTTAGCCCTGCAGCTAACGTGTGTGCTTATTAGCATGTAAACATGTTAGCCCTGCAGCTAACGTTTGTGCTTATTAGCATGTTAACACGTTAGCCCTGCAGCTAACGTTTGTGCTTATTAGCATGTAAACACGTTAGCCCTGCAGCTAACGTTTGTGCTTATTAGCATTTAAACACGTTAGCCCTGCAGCTAACGTTTGTGCTTATTAGCATCTAAACACGTTAGCCCTGCAGCTAACGTTTGTGCTTATTAGCATCTAAACACGTTAGCCCTGCAGCTAACGTTTGTGCTTATTAGCATGTAAACACGTTAGCCCTGCAGCTAACGTGTGTGCTTATTAGCATGTAAACACGTTAGCCCTGCAGCTAACGTGTGTGCTTATTAGCATGTAAACACGTTAGCCCTGCAGCTAACGTTTGTGCTTATTAGCATTTAAACACGTTAGCCCTGCAGCTAACGTTTGTGCTTAGTGCCTGTAAACACGTTAGCACTGCTGCTAACGTTTGTGCTTATTAGCCTGTAAACACGTTAGCACTGCAGCTAACGTTTGTGCTTATTAGCCTGTAAACACGTTAACACTGCAGCTAACGTTTGTGCTTGTTAGCCTGTAAACATGTTAGCCCTGCAGCTAACGTTTGTGCTTGTTAGCCTGTAAACATGTTAGCACTGCAGCTAACGTTTGTGCTTGTTAGCCTGTAAACATGTTAGCCCTGCAGCTAATGTTTGTTCCTTTTAGCCTGTAAACAAGTCAGCACTGCATCTAACGTTTGTGCTTGTTAGCCTGTAAACATGTTAGCCCTGCAGCTAATGTTTGTGCTTGTTAGCCTGTAAACATGTTAGCCCTGCAGCTAACGTTTGTGCTTGTTAGCCTGTAAACATGTTAGCCCTGCAGCTAATGTTTGTTCCTTTTAGCCTGTAAACATGTTAGCACTGCAGCTAATGTTTGTGCTTGTTAGCCTGTAAACATGTTAGCCCTGCAGCTAACGTTTCTCCCTTTTAGCCTGTAAACATGTTAGCCCTGCAGCTAACGTTTGTGCTTATTAGCATGTAAACACGTTAGCCCTGCAGCTAAGGTTTGTGCTTATTAGCATTTAAACACGTTAGCCCTGCAGCTAACGTTTGTGCTTATTAGCATTTAAACACGTTAGCCCTGCAGCTAACGTGTGTGCTTATTAGCATGTAAACATGTTAGCACTGCAGCTAACGTTTGTGCTTAGTAGCCTGTAAACACGTTAGCACTGCAGCTAACGTTTGTGCTTGTTAGCCTGTAAACATGTTAGCACTGCAGCTAATGTTTGTGCTTGTTAGCCTGTAAACATGTTAGCCCTGCAGCTAATGTTTGTTCCTTTTAGCCTGTAAACATGTTAGCACTGCAGCTAATGTTTGTGCTTGTTAGCCTGTAAACATGTTAGCCCTGCAGCTAACGTTTGTCCCTTTTAGCCTGTAAACACGTTAGCCCTGCAGCTAACGTTTGTGCTTATTAGCATGTAAACACGTTAGCCCTGCAGCTAACGTTTGTGCTTATTAGCATGTAAACACGTTAGCCCTGCAGCTAACGTTTGTGCTTATTAGCATTTAAACACGTTAGCCCTGCAGCTAACGTGTGTGCTTATTAGCATGTAAACACGTTAGCCCTGCAGCTAACGTTTGTGCTTAGTAGCCTGTAAACACGTTAGCACTGCAGCTAACGTTTGTGCTTATTAGCCTGTAAACACGTTAACACTGCAGCTAACGTTTGTGCTTGTTAGCCTGTAAACATGTTAGCCCTGCAGCTAACGTTTGCGCTTGTTAACCTGTAAACATGTTAGCCCTGCCGCTAATGTTTGTCCCTTTTAGCCTGTAAACACGTTAGCCCTGCAGCTAACGTTTGTGCTTGTTAGCCTGTAAACACGTTAGCACTGCAGCTAACGTTTGTGCTTGCTAGCCTGTAAACATGTTAGCACTGCAGCTAACGTTTGTGCTTGTTAGCCTGTAAACATGTTAGCCCTGCAGCTAATGTTTGTTCTTTTTAGCCTGTAAACAAGTTAGCACTACAGCTAACGTTTGTGCTTGTTAGCCTGTAAACATGTTAGCCCTACAGCTAACGTTTGTGCTTGTTAGCCTGTAAACATGTTAGCCCTGCAGCTAATGTTTGTGCTTGTTAGCCTGTAAACATGTTAGCCCTGCAGCTAACGTTTGTGCTTGTTAGCCTGTAAACATGTTAGCACTGCAGCTAATGTTTGTGCTTGTTAGCCTGTAAACATGTTAGCCCTGCAGCTAATGTTTGTTCCTTTTAGCCTGTAAACATGTTAGCACTGCAGCTAATGTTTGTGCTTGTTAGCCTGTAAACATGTTAGCCCTGCAGCTAACGTTTGTCCCTTTTAGCCTGTAAACATGTTAGCCCTGCAGCTAACGTTTGTCCCTTTTAGCCTGTAAACATGTTAGCACTGCAGCTAATGTTTGTGCTTGTTAGCCTGTAAACATGTTAGCCCTGCAGCTAATGTTTGTTCCTTTTAGCCTGTAAACATGTTAGCCCTGCAGCTAATGTTTGTGCTTGTTAGCCTGTAAACATGTTAGCCCTGCAGCCAATGTTTTTCCCTTTTAGCCTGTAAACATGTTAGCCCTGCAGCTAACGTTTGTCCCTTTTAGCCTGTAAACATGTTAGCACTACAGCTAACGTTTGTGCTTGTTAGCCAGTAAACATGTTAGCCCTGCAGCTAACGTTTGTGCTTGTTAGCCTGTAAACACGTTAGCCCTGCAGCCATTTGGAGGAAGCTGAACTGGTTCTGTCTGGGTGGAACCGTCCCACCAACTGCTGCTGAAGATGTCTCCCTCCTCTCTCTCCCTCCAGGATCTTCACCCTGTACAGCAAGTCGCTCCCGCTGGACGTGGCGTGCCGAGTTTGGGACGTCTTCTGCAGAGACGGAGAGGAGACTCTGTTCCGGACCGGGCTGGGGATCCTGCGGCTCTACGAGGACGTCCTGATGCAGATGGACTTCATCCACATCGCCCAGTTCCTGACGCGCCTGCCGGACGACCTGCAGCCGCAGATGCTCTTCACCGCCATGGCCAACACGCACATGATCAGCAGGAACCGCCGCTGGGCTCAGGTCAGCGCCGTCACCGGATTCATGGGTCTGGAATGACTTCCTGATGTTCAGTGTTCCATGTTTCCTGTTCCAGGTGTTTTCTGCTGTGATGAAGGACGGGAACGTGAAAGAGGCGGAGAAGTCCAGCAGCAGCCCGGCTCTGAGAAGCTAACACTACTGCTACCCAGACGGAGGCTCGGCGTAGATCTGAACGCAGAGACCAGAGATACAGGAGCCGATCACTGAGGCGGTCGGTTCATCCTGATAACGTCAGTATTTCCCTGCAGAGATATTAAAGATTTCAGCTTCATGGTTAATCCCTCTCTGCTGGCTGGAAGGACGGCTCCTCCCCACTAACTCCTCTAAAGGAAACGCCTCTAATCCTCTTCATTTGCTGCTTCTTCCTGATTCCTGATCCAAAGCTGCTGGGAACGATTCAAAGTGTTCAGAAAGTATTTATTACAGTCAGACCCTCACAGCTGATGATGCAGATGAAGGAGCAGAGAGATGAAGACGTTCAGCGGGATGGGGGGGGCGTCCAGGATGCAGATTTCTTCTTAGAGCACTTTATTCCTGCAGCACTGGAGCCTGACGGGGAGCTCAGAGGAACCGAAGCCACGGAGCTCAGGCTGCACATTTCCTTTGGGTTTTAGTCTTTGCATCAATTAAAAAAAGTCCTTCCGCTCACCAACTGAAGGACTGAAATCATTCCGTTTGTCATTAAAACACGGCGTCTACCAGCAGCTGCTTCATCTGCAGCTTCCTGTCCTGCAGGCAGAGGAGCAGAAACACTAAATCTAAAGAAAGAGGCTGAAACCAAACAGAAGGATTCAGCCATGGTCTGTTTCTTATCAGTCGCCGTTTAAAAAGGTTTCAGACGAGTCATAAGGCTTCGTTTCATCAGAACCCATATTTGCAGAATAAAGACGCACCAATCAGATCAGAATATATAATAAAAAATCTGTCTCCTTTAAAGCATCAATAATCAGTCGACCAGTTTTAACCCATTAATGAGGATTTATCTCTATCAGCAGTGAGGAGGATTTAGGAGCTGGTTCAGATATTCTGCTTTTCAAAATAAAACTCAGCCAAAGTGTCAATCCGGCGCCTCAGGATGAGTCCGCGGACCCGGGCCGACCCATTTCCTTCTGGTTTCTGAATGTTGGACCATTTAGGCTCATCATCATCCTCATCTTCCTCCTCTTTGCTTTATTCTAAACGATTCAGGCTTTAATTTTACATTCAGGACAAACAGCAGAAAACTGTGAAAAGACGGACAGAACCTCCTGACCGGGTCGGTACCAGTGCCGAAGAGCATCGGGTCCATCTCTGAACAGAAACCACCGGTTCCTTCTTTAACCAAAACACTACTCCAACCAGAACCAGCCGGTCCACGATGGCGCCTCTAGAGGATAAAGCTGGTTCTGGTTCTGGTCCAGACCCGGATACAGTAAAGTTAAGGTTCTGCTCTCACTAACACGATGCTCTCTCCCTGCAGACGGCTTCAGATTATTCCAGAAACACGTTTTATTGTCTAAATGTTTTTTTTATTTTATTCTTCATTTATTCAGCTTGTTTTTTTTCCCATAATGCCTTACAGTTAATGTAAATAAACTGTATAAATGTTGTTTTTCATATGACAGCCACTAGTTAAACATGTAAATAAATATCTAAGCCATCTGACTGCAGACTGTTCTTATCAGCCAGAACATTATGACCTCTGCATGAATACTGACCTGTGAAACCTTCTAGAAGCTAGAAGCTAGTGATGGGTCCCATAGAGCAAACTCTGCATCAGTACGTCATGTGACCGATACAGGAGTTGTTTCTTACTGAATGACTCACTAAACTGATTAAAAACATATATTTTAACATGATGCATCTGCTAAAAAAATGTCTGATCTTTTGCGGTTTATCATTAAAATTATCAAGAATTTTGGAGCAGCGTTAGAGAAACGGGAACCTTTTTCAGTTTAGTCAATCAGCTGCCTGTAGTGTCTTTAAATGTCCAGCAGGTGTCAGTATTCTGCGAGACAGTATCAACACAGTTTGGTAATGTGTGGAGACGCTTTAAGATGCCTGATTAACCCTCACTACTAGAAGCATCTGCAGATGTTTGCACATCTGAATTCTTATTTCTACACAGAATTTAGTCCAGAACAGCCGCAGGATCTTGTTTCTAGACAGATTTATTTTGTCATTTTGTGCTGCTTAGCTCTTCAAGTGCAGCCTTGAAAAGCTAAGCAGCAGTGATAAAACAAAACGTGATGAAAAACAGAAAAGTAAACATTTGACTGTATAGTTACAGTCCTAACATTGTGCTTTTGTTTTTTTATAACCCATTTTACATAACATTCAGCAGTCTGATGGCGGTGCAGGGGCGGAGCTGGATGGGGGGGCCAGGGGTGCCCACATGAAAAAAATTACGTTTTTCAGGTACTGTTGGTGCATATGGTGATGCATTTTTGATTCCAAAAAAGTTTTTTTTAAAAAGAATCCACTGGACGTTGTTTCCAAGTTTGAAGATGTTTCGCTTCCCAACCAGGAAGTGAAAAATTTGATATTTAAAATATTTAAAAATGTGATATTTAAAGAACTTTCAGAAGTTTGAATTCTGAATATGACTGGACTTTAAAGGCGAATAAATCGGTCTGATATCTAACCGGCTGATGGTCTGGACTCCATTTGTCCTCATATGGATCCAGGATTATTTAGTTATTGCTTGTTTTTCAGTTGTTTTTCTTTTTTGTAGAGGGTAAAACTAGATGAAGAGCAGATTAAGATGCAGGAGGATTTTATTGGCTCGACGAGACACCTACAGCCACAAGGTGGCGCCAGAATACCAGTTTTAGCGCATCTCTTCCTCACAGCTCTTCTGCCCCTCTGGTCTGACTGAAGCATATTTCTACCATCACTCAGGATGCTGCTGGGATCCAGGACTCCAGTTAAATCCACTGAGCATAGGCGTTTCTAGACAACTTTAAGGGCTGCTGAAGCATCCTTAAATTAACTCACAGCACCCCTAAAATATGGATTGTTTTTAAATATTGCCTGCCCTTTTTAAATTGAAAAAGTAAAACAAAAACATACAAAATTCACCTATTGGCAATACTAGGCCGCTGCCTAAGGCCCTAAGTTCCTGGGGGCCCCATAAAACAATGTTTCCATGTGTGGTTAATACAACTATTCCTTATTTCTGCACATTAATTATGTTTTTAATAAAAATCCTTTCTTTAAAATGCCATCAGAACGCTGATAATATTCAGTGTGTCTCAGCCCCCCCCTTCAGTGTCCACCATATTGGATCAGTCCATTTGCTGCACATGTTCAGAAAGGTCCAAACAGACAGCAGCAAACCATTTGGAAACAAACCATGCAAAGAGCAGTGTTGCCAACTTAGCGCTTTAGTCGCTATATTTAGCCACTTTTCAGACCCCTCTAGCACTTTGATTTCTAAAAAGCTCCTAGCGCCAAATCTAGAGACTTTTTTCTGCTACTGGAGACTTTGGAGACATCTAAAAGCAGCGAACTCTGCTCCCCAGAGCGAGTAGATTGGTAACCCCGCCTCCTGCTCTCCTCTATCTTGTCTGCTGTCATGATTCATGCAGCTATTATTTCATCCAAATGAAAAATGGAGAACAGATAAGCAGATCATGGCTTGTCTACAGTGAAAAGAAGGACTGGGTTATTTACTTTGGCCTTTTTGGAAACACAGGAAGGAGCAATCAGCTAAGTGAGCTTAGTGCTTGGAAAAAATCTTTCATTCCTTTAGAGACAGCATGAAAAGTCAGCTGAGTACAAAACATAGAGAGGAAAACAAGAAGAAAAGGGACAAGAAGAGAGGGACACAACCTAGAACAGATAATGGATGTCTATTCTATTAACATTTATCTATCTGGAGAATGGGGCTGTTTGATGTGTTGTCTTCTTAATTCAGACGGTCCCCTGCCTTTCTTTGCCTAGGGCCCCAAATTTTCTAAATTCGCCCCTGCTTTGATGGAATCACCGCAATCAGGCGTTTTCTAAATGTTCAGTCAGATTTCTGCTCCTGCTGATGGTTTGTCGGTGAAATGCTCATGAGCAAGGTGCTTTAATGTATCTGGGACTGATTTTTGAAATCATTATTTTTAAAATCACAATTCAAAATCAATATTTCAATCTATCAAATCATAATTTTGTATGTTTTTATTTTTTTTTTTAAGTTTCTTATCATTAGAATGACTGTTTTTCTTTATCTGGTGTGTTTAAACTTTCAAGCACAACTGGATATATTTACCTTGTTAAATACAATTAGGATAGGCAGTCCAAAGAGGGAAAGATGTACAAGGGGAAGGAGAGGAGCACGGTTTAAGGTCAGGAACAGCCAGGTAGGTTTCGGTACAGCTCGTCCAAGAAGAGAAAAATTCAATTCTATTCAGTTTATGTCTATAGCGCCAACTCACAACATGTCATCTACAATTTGACCAGATCATCCAGTCAGATGATTCAAAGTTTTCTATCTAAGGAAAACCAGCTGATTGCATCGACTCATTGACTCTTCAGCAATCCCTCACACTAAGCATGCTTGTAGCGACAGTGGAGAGGAAAAACTCCCTTTGAACAGGAAGAAACCTCCAGCAGAACCAGGCTCAGTGTGAGCGGCCATCTGCTGAGGCCCACTGGGGTTCAAGGAGACAGAAGCAGACGTAGAAAAAGAAGCATAGATACAAAAGGCAACTGTCAACCAGCTCCACAGGCGGCCCCGTCCAGGAAACACACAGCTAGGCAGACGAGCTCCGAGCCAGCTCCCATGTCAGAGGATGAAGAGAGCACATCCAGTTAGTCACAGTCAGAGAAACAGGACTACACTGGAAAACAGGCCAAGCTCCAACATCTAGAAACAAAGGTGTTGATGGCAGCAGCACAGCTGATATTTCTCTCCAGGATGGAGTCACAGCCAAACAGGAACAATGAGGCGAAAACACAGGAAGACAAAACACAATGTGATGCATTGGTGAATGATGGAGTCAGTTATTGGCAAAAGGCACTGAGCAAGTTTCAAAAATGTAGAAAATCCATGTAGAAAACAGTTAAATGTATTTTACCTATCCAGACAGCTGCCTGGGTGCTCAGCACCCCTAAACCTCTGATCCTAGGATCTCCCCTGCCACTGAGTAAATTGGCTTCTGAGGAAGATGTTTCGTGGCATTTTTGTCCAGTTTCCTATATTTTCTCACAGAGCTTTTTACTTTGAACCCAAGTCAGGAAAAAAAAGCTCTCCTCTGTCACACCTGCCCCACCCAGGCGGTTAATTGTTGTTTCGTTGAGAAAACAGAAGGTTTGAGGTTAGTAGATCTAATTAAGGCAAAGTC